CGGCGATTCATACAAAACTTTGCCTCCATAGCCGCACCACTACATAAGCTACTTGCTTCTGGTACGCCCTTTCAGTGGTGTCAGGAATGTGAATCGGCTTTCGACAAATTGAAGAGTGCCCTCACGACCGATCCTGTACTTTCTCACTTTCACGATGGTGCACCGACCTTCCTCCATACAGACGCTAGCGGCCACGGTTTAGGAGCCGTGCTCCTCCAGGGCGACAACTCTTCGCGAGAGCGAGTCGTTGCGTACGCCAGCCGCGTCCTCTCCGCAGCCGAGAGGAACTACACGATCACCGAGAAGGAGTGCCTCGCCATCGTTTGGTCAGTGCAGAAATTTCGTCCCTATCTTCATGGCCGCCATTTCACCATCGTGACCGACCACCATGCTTTATGTTGGCTTTCGACACTCAAGAACTTGTCGGGACGCCTCGGCCGCTGGATTCTACGCCTACAAGAGTATGATTTTGACATCGTATACAAGTGTGGCAGAAAGCATAGCGACGCCGATGCTCTCTCTCGCTGCCCACTACCAGCGGCTCCCCTCAGCGTTTCCGCAATCACTTTGCACAACACGCCCTCGGAGACCACGTCTACGGCGGTTTCCGCTCTCGCCTCTATGGACCAGCTGCCTTCGGACGACCCGCACGATTTTTCTTCTCGACAGCTGGCTGACCCATACTGTCGACGTATTATAGGCTACCTCACTGGCAGTTCCCGTCCACCTAATGCGAGGCTCCGTCGCCAACTCTCGCAGTTTAAGCTGGACAACTCGGTGCTGTACCGCAAAATTTACCATCCTGACGGTCAGCGCTGGGTTCCAGTTCTACCCCGATCGCTTCGGTCCGAAGTCCTCAGAGCACTTCATGACCATCCGACGGCAGGTCACCTTGGTTACCACAAAACCTACGATCGCCTTTGAAGTCGGTTTTATTGGCCAGGTATTACCACTAGTGTAGCTCGGTACGTTGGGTCCTGCACTACCTGTCAATCTAGAAAACTACCCACATCTGCTCCAGCCGGTACACTACAGCCTCTTCCGTGCCCAGCCACACCATTCGAAGTTGTAGGCATCGATCTTTATGGCCCCCTTCCAGTCAGTGCTGCTGGAAACCGATGGATAGTAACAGCCATTGACCATTTGACGCGCTACGCCGAAACGGCATCCGTCACTACCGGTTCAGCTTCTGAAATTGCCGATTTCATCCTCCGAGCCATTATACTGCGTGATGGTGCTCCACGTGTATTGCTCAGTGACCGTGGAAGGGCCTTCCTTTCACAACTAGTGAACGAACTTCTTCGCGCTTCTGGCACAACTGACAAGACTGCCTCTAGTTATCATCCCCAAACTAACGGCCTCACTGAGCGATTCCACCGCACTCTTTCTGACATGATCGCCGCCTGCATTCAACCAGACCACAAGAACTGGGATGTAGTCCTACCATTCGTCACTTTCGCCTACAATATGGCTATTCAGCGGACAACCGGCTACTCACCATTTTACCTAGTTTATGGACGCTCCCCTACTTCTCTCCTGGACGTCCCTTTCTTTACCTGCCATGTGGATTCATCTCCATCCTCTTCAGAGGAGTACGTTTTACGGCTCGCAGAGAGCCGCCAACGTGCTCGTATAAACACTGAAGCCCGACAGCAAGACAGAAAGCTGGTTTATGATGAATCCCATCGTGCTGTATCCTTTCAACCTGGAGACGAAGTGCTTCTTTTGACGCCTATTCACACACCTGGTTTGTGCGACAAATTCCAGCCACGGTTTATCGGGCTGTACACAGTTCTTGAAGAAACTTCACCAGTGAATTATCGCGTGACGCCACTTGTAGCCCCAGCTGATCGCCGTTATCGAACTACTGAGGTCGTCCATGTCTCCCGTATGAAGCCCTTCATGCGACGTTCTTTGTCCCCTTAACTTGCCGCGGCCAGGCTGGCCGCTTTCACGTGGGGGGAATTAGTGTGGGCATTTAGTAACCAATCCTCTTCATCTGTACATTATCATCATTATCATGTGTTGCTCATGCATCCTCATCGTTGTCACGTAGCATCATCATCTTGGTCCGTTCATCTCAGCTGTCGGCTGCCGGTTCTTCGGGCCTAATAAAGGTCTTCCAAACCAAGACTTCATAATATGTGTGTGTGTGTGTGTGTGTGTGTGTGTGTGTGTGTGTGTGTGTATGTGCGTGTGTGCGTGTGCATGTGCGTGTGTGTGAATATAGATCTGACAGACATTAATGCCAAGGAAAGTTTAGGGGAGGTCATTAGACCGAATTGTAATGTAAATGTGAAGAAAGAAAAGTGGGTGAAAAGATAACTTGCCGTGGGAAGGAGCCGAACCTGCGACCTTCGAATCACGTGTTAGATGCTCTAGCACTGAGCTACCATGGCAGCCATCCCCCCAGCCACTTTATTGCGTATATATGTGAATTTAAACGTGGGAGTGTCAGTCAGTGCCACCAGTAGCCATGGCATGAAGTGTGGTGAGCCTGTTTGACGTCACGTAGCATGTGAACTTATTACGAGCAAGCAGCTGGCTAATAGTTCCTCGTATCCAACCTAAAGGCACAAAGCCTGCCAGTACGAGACCCTCGTTAATGAATAGGAAAAGGAGTGTATACCTAAGGGCTCGTTTTTCCATGTTTCACATAATATTAATGAGATCTGACAGATAATAATGCCAAGGAAAGTATAGGGGAAGTTATTAGACCAAATTGTAACGTAAATATTAGATTAGGCAGATCAGTGAGGTAGGTTTGCCCTGCCCCACGCACGAAAGAGTTGGTGCACTACTGGAAAAGTGCCATTTGCAAGCTACTGACACTCATTACAACACAAAATTGTGCAAGTTAGCAACGTAGAAAAGACTCCTGGAAACAAGAAGACATGGTGTTATTTTCCTTTTTTTTTCTTTGCATGTGAACAGCATAAGTTTCAAAAATCTATAATATGTTTAGGAACCTAAGAATAGAATTTCATAACTGAAAGAGTAACATTGACTAGCCCAGACTAGCTTGTAGTGACACTGGTCACACTCTGTGACATACTGTTGCTCACTAGTTTTAGTAATAACACACTTAGTTTTTTTGTTTAAGTCAAAATATCACAGAGCTACCTCTTAATATAAAAAAAACACAGCAGTCAAGACACGCATGCATGAATTACTTCGATAAGTCTGAGGTCACCGGGTCAGGCTGGTGCCAAGGAACATATACAATGGAATCAACATAAAAACTCAAAGCATGATACTCAATGCCTCAGAAAGCAATGTGCTCAAGTGTAAGTGATTAAAGTACCACTGGGAGTCTTTCTTGAGGGCTTTTATTTACAGTTTAGCCATGTCGAGCCTTACTGGAAATGCAACGTACTCCCTTAAGCTATGCGATGCCCGTTGAAGTTTCCTTGAGCGGTTTTTGATTGTCTGACCTGAAAAAATCATTAGCACGAAATTCATCATCATCATCATCAGCCTGACTACGTCCACTGCAGGACAAAGGCCTCTACCATGTTCCGCCAGTTAACCTGGTCCTGTGCTTGCTACTGCCAATTTATACCCACAAACTTCCTAATCTCATCTACCCACCTAACCTTCTTTCTCCCCCTAACACGTTTGCCTTCTCTGGAAATCCAGTTAGTTACCCTTAATGACCAGCGGTTATCCTGTCTACACGCTACATGCCCGGCCCATGTCCATTTCCTCTTCTTGATTTCAACTATGATGCCCTTGACGCCGGTTTGTTCTCTAATCCACTTTGCTCTCTTCTTGTCTCTTTAAGGTGACGCCTATCATTTTCCTTTCCATTGCTCGCTGCGTCGTCCTCAATTTAAGCTGAACCCTCTTTGTAAGTCTCCAGGTTTATGCTCCGTAGCTAAGTACCGGCAAGATGCAGCTGTTATATACCTTCCTCTTGAGGGATAGTGGCAATCTACCTATCATAATTTGAGAGTGCTTTCCAAATGTGCTTCACCTCATTCTTATTCTTCTAGTTACTTCAATCTCGTGGTTCGGCTCCGCGGTTATTACCTGTCCTAAATAGACATAGTCTTTTACAACTTGAAGTGCACTAGTACCTATCTCGAAGCGCTGCTCTTTTCCGAGGTCGTTGTACATTACTTTCGTTTTCTGCAAATTAATTTTAAGACCCACCTTTTTGCTGTCCTTGTCCAACTCCGTAATCATGAGTTGCAATTCGTCCCCCGAGTTACTCAGCAATGCAATGTCATCGGCGAAATTAGTACATAAAAGCACGAAATCAGTACATAAAAAAAAGCAAGCAGCATTTTTGACAAGCAGTGAAACTTACTAGGAGGAGGAGTAATATTTAACTTTTTGATGGGGCATGTCAATGACATCTTGCAGAGTGCACTAATACACCACAGAAAAAAAAAGGGGGGGGGGGGGGGGACGACACACGTTCAGAAACTGATAACGGCAAGATACTACATTTCTTATAGAAATCGAAGCATGCAATGTCAGCATTGTAAAGGCAAATGTCACTAGAAGTAATTAATTACATGAGGCAAATTTTTTGGTGACTGTTCTAAGGAAATTGTATTTACTTCTTTACTACTAGCTTATCATAGCTATTGCCAGTTCTGGTGTAAGAAACATATTATGATGCATGCCCCGGTGCGGCGGTTTAGTGGCTAAGGTACTCGGCTGCTGACCCACAGGTTGCAGGATCGAATCTCGGCTGCGGTGGCTGCATTTTCAATGCAGGCGAAAATACTGTAGGCCCGTGTGCTCAGATTTGGGTGAACGTTAAAGAACCCCAGGTGGTAAAAATTTTCGGAGCCCACCACTATGTCGTCTCTCATAATCATATGGTGGTTTTGTGACGTTAAACCCAACATATCAATCAATCAATTTTTCAATCAAACCACTAAGACATACTCTACAGTTGATAAGGCTGCTTCTTTTCCTGAATCAATTTTTCAATCAAATCACAAAGACATACTCTACAGTTGATAAGGCTGCTTCTTTTCCTGCAGGATTGGAGATGACAAGTGTACAATAATACGCCTCTCGGAGCCACTAAAAGAGGCATATGCAAAGGTAAGACCTGTTGTGAACAGCACGCATAACATTAGTAATCTTGAAAAAAAAAAAGGGGGGGGGGAGTGAAAAATATGCAACAAGGTAAGAACTCCTCCAGTTGTTTTCTAGCATGTAACTAAATGTTTTTTTCCATTTAGCTGTCATTCTCCATGTTATCATACCTTGCATCTGAGCAAAAATTATTCCTAGAGAGCACATAGAACCAAAGTTGTGGTAGAGTGCCTGACGTTTTTTTCTTAAGCGACTCCTGGTCAGTTGTAATGCTTACTTGGTTTGTTAATTTTGGTGCCAACTCCAAGTCAATCAAGTGGATCACAATAGACAGCATGGTCTCTTTATGTGATACAGGAGCACAATCTTGACTGCAATCGACTGCTCGACTCATCCGACTACAAGGAGCTGTATCGTGCTAAGATGGTTGCCTGGGGCGAGGAGAAACGCAACAAGGACCTGTCCTATTTCTGCCGCTTGGCGGTCAAGAAGAGGGGCCAGCCAGAGTTTCCCGTGTGGATAGTGAGCGATGCTCGAAGAGAGAGCGACATTGAGTATTTCCGAGAGTCCTTTGCCTGCCCCACGCTCACTGTCAGGGTTAAGGCGTGCGAAGGCACACGCCAAGCCCGTGGGTGGGTGCACACACCGGGTGAGCACCTCCTCCTGGCAGGTTCATTTGGCTGCATATCTGTCCGATATCGATCGATACACGTGTGCAGTGGTGAAACTTTTTTTACTAAACATGCGTCACGAAAACTGCATTATTTTGCACAATGAAAGAATTCTTGTCACAGTGTTCGAGCTATTTGTAGGGTTCTTCGACTGCTGGAGTGTTAGTAGGCCACTGTGGAAGAGCATCTTAAAAATATTAAGTGTGGGGTCATTTCCTTCTAAAATTATGCACTCTGTCTCACTGTTCTATCGAAGCATTCAACACTTGAACAGTAGCCACGCTTACATCATTTTGCCTAGTCTTGCAAGGAATAAATTGAAGCCACCACCTTCTCCCAGCTGTGAAAAAAAAAATTGCCCGCAGCTTCCCTCGGGGGAACACTGAGGAGGATGCGGAGCATATAATTGGTTAACGGTGTGTTAAAGTGCGACTTACTTGGGTCGATGGCTAAATTGGTTAACGTGGTTGTGAAATGGGGTGTTAAATTGCGACTTACTTGGGTCGATGGCTAAATTGGTTAACGTGGTTGTAGGAGGGGGTGTTAAATGAGTGAACACGTACACACGTATGCGAAAGGGCGGCGCTGGTCGAAGGGACGTCGATCATTGTGTTTGTGGATTCGTTGGAATTCATTTCACCGCGACCTTGGACGTCGACGCGCCGTACAAACCAACCGACGAGCGGCAACTGAGCGAGCGAGCGCCGACCTTGAGTATATATACAGCACGGCGGCGCATGCACTGTCAGCTGTTGAATGTTCTCGAAGGAGAAGCGCGCGCGCGGCACAGATGGCGACGGCGCGACGGCGCATGCGCTGTCAGCTGTCGAATGTTCTCGAAGGAGAAGCGTGCGCGGCACAGATGGTGGGCGACGGCGCGACGGCGCATGCGCGCGCGTCAGCTGTCGAATGTTTGTGAAGCGGTGCAGACGGCGCGGACGGCGCACTACAAGGCGCGAGTATAAGATGCTTCCGCATCTCAAAAAAAAGAAAGCGAGCATCAAAGCAAAGGGTATTCAGAAACTGGATAATGCAGTCACACTGACATTGATGACAGACACGACGTTGCATTTTTTAAATGCTAACTAAACTGGAGCAAAACGTGAATGTGCAGGTATGCGCGAAACGACAAAAGAAGGCAAAGTTTAGGCCGCTGTATCTCATCCTCTTATTTTTGTTGACTTATCCTAGATAGATAAGAGTGTGTCTATCTGGCAAATAGGCATTTTTTTACATTCCAAATTGCTTCACTTCTTTAATTAATATTTTAAGTTTGTCAGAGAAAGATTCTTTAATTTCACTTAATGCCTCTAGTGTATATATACGCAACAATCACTTATGTCTAGCATCTCTAATAAGGGACACTAAGGTGAAACAATGAAATGGTTTAGATTATTGATGATGAGAACTCAAACATCATTAATCATACCATCTTAAGATCATAATTAGAGCAGAAAATTAAGGTCAAGGTACCTTTCTTTAAAATTTTGCATCAAAATGTCCACACATGATGTCACAAATGTCGAAGTGTATTTGTCGTATCTTGCCGCCATTGGCTCGAGGCAATTTCTGGAAGTTGGTACATCAAGTCTCTGGCCCCATCAGTAGACATTGTCTTTCATTTTTGCCGACGAGGCCTTATAGTAAACACTGTCAAAATTTATGAGGTCACAGCGTTTGGTGCATAAATTTCAATGTGACATTGGCGCCCGCATTTCCTTTTTGCGTGTTTTTTCGCTTACCAAGTGTTTTCTCGTGGCAAGCGCGACGATTTTGGAGTTGTGAAAAGGTAATTAACTGATAGCAGAAAGGTAGTTTTCTTCTTCAGTGTCCCGTAAAGAAAAGTTATCCCAATTTCCACAGTCTCGTTTAAAGGACCCTGACAGTGAAAGTTTTGTTTGCGACTTTTTTACAAGGATTGAATCGTAAATGCTCTAATGCGCTGTATAATTGGATGCTAGCCTCGTTAGTTCAAATACCAGCGCCCCACAGGAGATCAGCGCCTGAAGCTACATGTGCTCAAGATTGAGTGAACGTGCCGTTTTACAATAAGGGGACCTAAGGGTGGTGATGAATGGAACGACGTGGATGTTTTGAGCTTGTCCCCCTCAGAAAAAAGAATAAAAATGTTTCTGGAGTAAGCAGCCAGAAATACTTTGAGAGCAGCCAGACAACAGAGCGAGAGGGGTGACGAACAATAGTTCTCGCCAGGTTTCCAACGCTAACAATACTTGCTTGACCTCTGCAGCGTCACGTCGGGGCCCCATGTCTAAATTAAATGACAGAAAATGTCAATTGCACCTGAATACTCGGACAAGCACGCATTCTTACTTTAAAACCAAGTTAAAATATTTTATAAGCAATGCTCGTCACAAGTTTCCAAATTTAGCTTCACAAGTTTTCAAATTTAGTGTCAGGGGTCTTTTAAAAGTCTTTCCTAAAAGAACCACTATATATTGTGCCATGTGATATTTTTTTGTAGGTATTGATGATGCCACAACGGAGTGTGGACTCGACCACATAGACAACTGGGATTTTGTGATAAGCAACAACGATGGTGACGACTTGGAAGGCCAACTTGAATCTGTTCTTCAAGCTGTGCACCAGCATTGTTCATGACATGCAAAAGACTTTCTTCAAGACTGCATTTTCTGCCTGTGCCAAGCCTCGTTAACATAACCATATCTATATTGCTCACTACAATCAGCTTCTGCATTCATATTGATGTTCAACGAAGCATTCCAAGCTTTTGCGAAGGCAATCAATGTTTTGAAAACTGAGCTGTGGGAGTCTACACATCTGTTCAACTGTTTTTCTCGTTTTCCTGATATTAAACACGTTTAAATGTCACCAGTCATAAATACCATTCATTGTCCAGTAAGGCGCACTGGTTGGCCATTAAGTTGTGCGCTACCCTTTCTGTACACCAAAATAATACCAAATTTGCACTTAAAATGCCCCCTAACACTTTTTGAGAGATCGCTTTTTGTTTCAAGGTTGCATGAATTTGGACGATTAACAGACAAATGCACTAAGAATGCAATCAATAAAGGTCTGTCATAGAGTTTCCTAAAATTAACTCTGGTGCTGCGACCATGGGAATGATAGGCAGTACACGGATTTGCCTAGTCTTTGTACTTGCGGGATACGAATCGCACTTGTGGCTTCGTTTATTGCTGTGTTTCGGTTTTGTTTCGAAGGAAAGAACAAACCCTTTTAAACTTCGTGAGGCGGTTATAGCTTCTCGCGCCCACAAAGCTGATGGCTGTATGGTTGACTACTTGTTACTGTCTCATTATTGCTGCCCAAAACATGAGTACATCTGTTTCTATGCAGCGCTATTTTACACAAATGATGTCGCTGTGGTTGCCCTTCCAGTTTTAGGGACTAAGAAACTCAGTCTTTTGGAGACTCAGTCTTATTGGCAATAAGATGAAGGATTGTCATAACTCTTGTTATTTTTCCAACGGGTGCACAAGCCTACCGTTTTCTTCTGTGCACTCATACAGGCTTGTGTGCACTCACTTGCGCTACGGAAGTGCACACCAATTGTTCTGCTGCTAGTGGGTCAAGCGGCGATTCTTCCGATTTGGGCTATTCTCCGAATGCCGAATTGAAATCCGATTCATTGGATGTCGGTTCGCCAGAGAAGTATTCACTCACTAGCTCCGACTTGGATGGTGATAGAGGAGAGACGTTTCGAAAGCTTTCACAGCAAGACAATGCGGACAGGAAGAAAGGCGATTATCCAGTTCTTAGTGTTACAGCAAAAATATTTTTATTGAAAAAGTACTCTGGTGTGCTCATTTCTGTATGTCTGTGAGCAATGTTTAATACAACGCATCATTTTTATTAATGAAAATTTGTATGAGTGGTTTTTTTTGTAGTACTTTGCTCGATGCTACAAACGAACCACGTGCATGTAACAGCGAAAATTATTTTTTTGTGACTTTACAATCTTGTAAAAAAATTTCTGCCAATTTTTCCTGAAATAGAATCATTTCAAGAACTCAATTCAACAATAAAAAAGATACACATTTTTTAGAGTGCATTTCGCACTCTAAAAATTCGACCCTCAAGAAGTTAACCAGTGTACTGACCACATATTGAAAAATTGGTCAAGAACCAAATATTAAAAAATTGGATGAATTTAAGCTTTGCCTTTAATAGTTGAACGTGACAGCAATATTATGTCCCTAATCAGTACATCATGAGCATACTTTTAACACAAAAGCGTTAATAGCTTGTTCCACAGAAATGGTGGCGTTGGTGTTGTTGGTTGTGAGCGAAAAATCATCATCTTGTCCGTGACTGAAAAATCAAGAAAGATGCAGATAAAATAAATACTAAAAATTTTTTGGTCAGAGCGAGGATTGAACTCTCGCCATTTGCGTGGCAAGTAGGTCTTCTACCACACAGCCACACGTCTGCTTGTGAATACAGTGAAAATAATTTTCTCTGCTTGGAAATGCACTGAAAGTAACTTTCCTGCTTTACTAGCATATGGGTCCTGTATACATGCTTCACAATACAACATGAGATATTGCAGTAATAATGCACGGTACAAGGCCATGATTATCGTAATGACTTCGTGGTTTAAAGCTAGTCTCCCACTACAAAAGGCATTCTCTTAAAGAAGCAGTGACATCAACTTTACACATGTCACATTTTTTGTGTCAACGAATCCCCTAGTAATGATTTGATACTAATAATTGCAACAGGGGGATGTACTAATATATGTAATATCAGTTAGTATGACCAGTATCAGATGCAATAGGTGGATAGCAAAACAACGCGTAGTCTGCTACAGTACTTCAGCTCCCTTCGCTGCTTCAAGGTGCGTGCTGCGCAGTGTAATCAGGGAGGAAGAATGTGCAATTCTGTGACGCTCTTGCTGCTGGCTTTTTCAGTGATTGTGTTATTCAATTCTTTATGTGAATGTATAGATGATATTTCATGCATTTGAGAGAACGAAGCAATACCTGGACATGAGCAAAGACGATGAGAGATTGATTTCGAGCAAAGCATGCGGTTATGCTTTGAAACACGCAGTAATCTTTCCTTGGTCACCTCTGTTTAGTATTAGTGTCTGGAATTGGGCTGGCTAAAAAAAAAAAGGAACAGCGCTGGAACAGGACGGAGACGAGAAGAAACAAACACGGCGCCGTGTTTGTGTCTTCTCGTCTCTGTCCTGTTCCAGCGCTGTTACTTCTTTCTTTTGTCAATTTAGTATTTTCGAGCACGTACATATACAGTCTAGGTAACCGAGACCACTTCAATATCACTCACACATGTGCACGTGCTCTCAAATGACAATATACATACGATGTCCACATAAGTATGCGTACCTTGCATGATCAAGTATGCCCCTATAGTTTTCTGTTGCATAATCTGAATCGCTAACTGTCAGTAAAAGTTATAAAAACAGGTGAGCACGTGAAAGGCCCACAGAACAAAATGACCACTCAAATATTGGTATCGTGGGACCCAAAACGATCAAAGTCACTCTAGAAGCAACGAGTAGCATGGTAAGGGGTCTCTGTTATGGCAGACGAAGCACCTAAAGCGGAACAATTAAAATGCAGGATTCACACTAATGCGCTGCACGATTCTAGCAATGACATTGCTAGGCAGCCAGGCGTCGCCGCCAGACGTGTAGACGCCGCGATGACAACACTGAAATTTTCAACGTCATCCCTGCTCACTCAGCGTCATTCAGCGTCTGAAATGTGGCCTAAGAGCTTGCTGAACACGTCAAAATACTGTCAATGTCTCATGACCGTGAAAACGCCATTTAGTCTTTGGACGCTCTTTGCGCTCAAAATAAAATAAATTTTAAAATAGAATAATTAATAGAACAAATAGAATAAACTGATGCTATTCATACTTCACTAAAAAAACTCATGTGTACCAAGCAATCAGATGAACACATCTCGAGTTGGAAGCTTCACTGACACAAGCCATTTCCAATTTTATCAATTACATTGCACAATTTAAACTTCTAGGAGTAACATCATACATTAAAAGGTATGTGCTAAGTGGTTCAACAACGTACTAGGAACTGGACATCGCTATTGTGTTCAACTCTTAAAGGTGGAGCATATGAGTGCCTCAATTTTTTAAACACCATACATTCTTTTTTCTTGGGTTAATTGGAAAGCAGAGCATAGAAAACTAAAACCAAATATCAAGCAAGATCTTGCAGCTGTGAAGTGGATTACCTACAACTTTATTCTGAATTACAGTCAAGTGAGTAGTGACATGCCTATCAGGAACACTTATGGCAGGTTCGATACTATTTGTGGTGTGGTTCAAAGCAATGTAGTTATTAAATGCCAAAGATTTCTTCGCAGACTGCAGGCACTTCGAGGGTCTCTGTGTACATATCTAACTAGCTGCCTACGTTTGGGCACTTTCGTCATCGCCTTTCTTAACTTGCGGTAGACCAAAATTTGTATGGGAGGGTAAAAAAGTTAGACAAATATGTATGGCAGTGTACAACGGGCTGTGGTATGCGCCACAGGTGTTTGAATCTACCGAGACTATTCTTTGTAATTTCAACGCGCACACAATAAATGGAAAACAACAAGCAAGAAAAAAAAAACAGGCGCAAACTCACAACTCAGTTTATTAAAGGAACCACACAAAACATATATCCCAGTGTAGCTCAAGAGCGCATGTGCATAAAAAAATAAGCAAGAAAAGGAAAGAAAAACAAACAATAACACATCATGACCGCAATTTTTTACCTAAGTGTACAATCTGTAGCAGAATGTGAAAGTCAAATATAACTCAAAAGGTGAACTCCTTGTCAGTTATAACAATCGATGGGCTGCTCACACATTTATCAGCACACCTTCCGATATGAAAGGCTTCTACCATTTCCCAACTTAGCTTGTCTTTGTGATAAAACAAAATGTTTGTGTCACACCAAACAGGATAATATTGGCAGCTGCTGCAATGCTCGACTAGGTGGGAGTGAGTGCTATTTTGTAACTTAGTTATAACTGACAAGGAGTTCACCTTTTTGAGCCATACTTGACTCACAATCTGCTACACAATGCAGACTTATGTAAAAGACTACTGTTATGGTGCGTTACTATTTGTTTTTTTTTGCTTGTTTCTTTTTTACGCACATGCGCACTTGACCTACTCAGAGATATTGTGAGATGACGTCAGGTACGAAGGAGCGATCGTTGTATTTTCAACACAGACGCGCGAGCCGGCAATCGAAGACGCAGCGAGCCCACTTGCGCCAGTGTGTAATATAGTAGGGGCTGTGGGATCAAAATGGCGGAGAACTGGCCCTGACGTGAGGCATCGCTTCAGGGTCTGGAAAGCAGCTTCACAGTTATCTGTCCAAATAAATGATGCACTTGTGGTCAGAAGTTTGTGAAGAGGAGCCGCGATAGTGGCAAAATCACGGACAAACTGGCAAAAGGAAGAGCCTAAGCAGAGGAAGCTGCGAAGGTCTTAGTGCGGTGGGCTTAGGAAAGCGCAACATAGCAGCCACCTTGTCGAGATCAGGTTCGATGCCAAGCATGCTAACAACGTGGCCTAACACTTTGATGCTGCGGCTCGCAAACCGGCACTTCTTGGTATTTAGCTGGAGACCGGCTTTGGCTAGACATGTGAGCACTTTTCTAGACGTTCTAGATGATGCGAGAAGCTGGATGAAAACATGATGATGTCGTCTAGGTAACAAAGACAGGTCTTCCATTTTAGGCCCCGCAGCACTGTATGGATCATTCGCTCAAATGTGGCTGGGGCATTGCAGAGCCCAAAAGGCATCACATTGAATTCGAAGAGGCCATCAGGAGTAGCAAACCCTGCCTTCTCTTTATCAGACTCGTGCATCGGGATCTGCCAATAGCCAGATAGTAGGTTAAGACTTGAAAAGTATTCTGCATCCTGTGGGGTATAGGGCATCGTCAATCCGAGGCATAGGATATACATCCTTCCGGGTAATTATGTTTAGTGCCCTGTAAGAATAACCTCGTCGTTCATCTTGCTGGCGCCGGCCGAAAAAGTGGGAGATGTGTCCTCGTATGCCACAGTAGTAGCAGACGGGGAGCGTAAGGCACCAGGCAGGGAAGTGTTTCTGTAGTGGTGCCTTGGCCACGAGTGTTGCCATCGTGGGCAAATGGTCGTATATGACGTCCACAGGTACAGGTGGGGATGGTGCAGGAAGCCGTGAGATGACTTCGGCATACGGAGGCACATGAAAGGGCGTGTGGGGTGGGGCACGTGGACACTCGTCATCGACACCAATTCATCCTTGACAATTTCCCGCAATTTAGGAGGTGAGCAGACAGATGAAGTAGGTGTAGGGCTGCAGCAATATCATACAGTGTCTAAAATAATTGCCAGTAACATTTTTATACATCAGAAATTATATTAGAACTCAAAATTATGTGGAGTATGCACGCATGAGTAATTGAACAAAGTTTGCTATGACATGTGAGTAGTGCTAACAGCCCCTTCCAAATCTTAAAATGCTATTCCGCAGGCCACCGGTGTACTGCGGCGAAAGCGGTATTCCACACAGGTTAGAACAAGGTCAAGAAATTTTGAACCGCTACACTCCCCCCTCCGCCCTTTTATTTTCACGGAGTGAGGTTTAAAGCCCAACTTCTTGGCTCGCTTGCAAGGCGCATTTGAATAGATAAAGTAACCCCGGAAGGTGCCCGTTAGCCTGACCTCAAAATTTTTTCAGTTGCGCTAATTTCAGCTAGAAAAGAAGGCCACGTTGGCCACCTGTAGTTTGCATGTATGTGCCATTGCTATGGCAACCAACGTGGTCACCAGCCAAGCTGGCGTTCGCAGCACATTGAGTTTATTTTCGCACAGTAACAGCAGCATACACATTCACTTTAGTTCCCACCACGCCTAAACCACGTTTGCTGACCAGTGAAGTGTTGCTGGCTACAACACATTTTTGTCTAGATTTGCATCATCCGGCCTATAAATATCCGCTGCGGTCGGCGGACCGATGGGCGCGCGGCGTTGTTACTTGGATGCGATCACATTTCACGAGGTCCTGGCCTAACAGTGGTTTACGGTTAAGGTCTGCGCGCCTGGATCCCTGAATTGATTGATGATGCAAACAACAGGTGGCCAACGTGGCCTTCATTTTTCGCTGAAATTAGCACAACTAATAAAAATTTTGAGGCCGGTTGGGGATTTCAGTGCAGTGTGGTGCAATTTCAGCAAATTTCATTGATTTCAGCACAGCCCGGTGCAAAAATGGGGAATCGTATCAATTTGGCACAGTTTGTGCAGCTGTTGCATCCCCTCATGAAAGATGTGCAATAAAGAGACATAGGCTCTTCTTCGCCAACCAAGAATCTTGTTGGAATATTACATAGCGTCAGAAGTGGGTGTGCTTCAACCGCAACGAGGGAAGGTGGTGTGCCTGCAAGTATGCGCTAGAAATAACAGTTGCTGGCACTGTCAAAGCGCCTGTCCAGGCAGGGCATGAAGAATGGGGACCCTATGGATGGTACTTCATGGTAATACCGGCATGATTTGACGCTCAAGAAACCAAACTCACAAGCCCCAGAGGGCAGCCGCAAGTTGTTTTGAGTACCTTCTGCTACCCAAGATGGACAGGCCAGTCGATAGAGCAGAAAATGTACATGGTGCATTCACAAACAGTGCCTCTGCTAGGCTTTCTGGCTATTCAGGCTCTGCAAGTTGTCGAGTTTGTGGACAGTATGACACGGGGCGAGTTGTCCAAGACTGTAACCATCGCGTCAAACTTGTTTGGATTCGGTGGGCCGGACGAACCGTCAGCATCGACCCACACGCCACCCCATTTCCGTCAAACACACCAAGAAGAATATTATACCGCTGTGTCCGGTCGTAAAATCTGAGCTAGACAAGATGTAAGCGCAGGGTATAATTGGATGGATCATGAGGTTAATGAAGTGGTGTGCCAATCACGTTGTAGTTTAGAACTCTAACAGCTACCGCTTGTGCGTGAACTACACGATGTTAAACAATTACGTCCTTCAGGAGTGACACACCTCATCGACCATGGTACACGTACTAAGACTCCTCGAAAAGGCGAAGGTCTTTTCCAAGTTGACGCGACGTCTAGTTTCTACCAGGTCAAACTGACAGGATACAGCCAGGAACTTACGACGTTCAAAAACCTTTCAGTATTAAATCTACACCAGAGCATTTTCAGCGCCAGATGTTCCGCATTTTGGAGGGGCAGCAAGGAGTGGTCAACATGACCGATGGCATCTTGGTGTTTGACCACAGCCGAGGGCGACATGACAAAAGGCATCCCAAGAGGTTGAATTGGTCACACAGTGCAGGGCTTACACCGAATAAGAAAAAGTGCAAGTTCGGCATGTCAAAGGTCAAGAATCTGGGCATCGTGGTTTTGTCAGACCATATATCATCAGACCCAGCTAAGGTGGAAGCCGTTTGGAAGATGGAACCACGAGTGGACGTCGGAAGTGTCTGAAGATTCATGGGGATGGTAAATCATGTCACCAGGTTCCTGCCACATCGGTTGAATATGCTAGCTCTGATACGGGAACTTCTATGCAAGTAGACGGCTTGCTGGTGGTGACCCCAGCAAGTGTCATTCGAAAGAACAAAGACAATGCTTTTTTCATAAATTCGCATGACCTGCTATCACCCATCTCCCCCAACAGCGGTTTACGTGGACGCAAGTTCTTTCAGGCTCAGTGCGATCCTGATGCAAGATCAGCCAAAGGGCGAAAGACAGACTGTAGTCTTTGCTTCAAGCTCGCTAGTGAAGATGGAGCAGAGGTACAGCCAGACGAAAAATAGGCAGCTGTCACATGAGCCGTGCAGCGAAGTCTACAATTCATCCTCAAAACTAACCATAAACTGCTGACAAGTCTTTTAGGCGACATGAAGGTGGACCGGCTGCCACCCCAGATACAGAACCCGAGATTGAAGTTGATGTGCTACCAGTTAAAGATACTGTATATTCCAGGCAAGCTTTGTGGCATGCTTTCAGTTGCACATTCAATTCTGCTGAAAGGTGGTTGGCTAGTTGTTCTCGCAGTTTCGCAAGCAGAAGTCTTGGGTCTGATCCATGAGGGTCATCTCGGAGTGGTTAGGTCTAGGGCGACAACCTGAGAGTCAATGTGGTGGCTTGGTATCAGTTGCAGAATCAAAGACACGCTCGAAAACTGTGAACAATACACAATGAGACTGCAGAGGGCATAGCCCATATTGGCGACGACTGCACCTGAGCTCCCGTGGCAACAAGTCGGGCCTGACATCTCCCATTCTGAAGGCCAGGACTTCTTATTAGTAGTCGACTGTTTCCGGAAGTCGAGACCATGCGTGGAATGTCAAGCATATTGGTAATCATTACCTCGAAGAACATTATGGCCCAATTCAGAATGCCCAAAGTTCTTCAGAGTGACAATGGACAACAGTTTTTGTCAAGGGAGTTTGCAGACTTGGCATCAACATACAGCTTTGCTCATTGCACGAGTAGTCCTGCTTTCCCACAGTCGAACGGGAGAGTAGAATGTGCAGTGCAAACTTTGAAGGTATTGTGGCGCAACATTGTTATCACATGACTCTTCAGAGTACGGGGACACTACCGGCTCTACAGGTTTCATCATCATCATCATCAGCAGCAGCAGCCTGACTACGTCCACTGCAGGACAAAGGCCTCTCCCATGTTCCGCCAGTTAACCCGGTCCTGTGCTTGCTGCTGCCAATTTATACCCGCAAACTTCTTAATCTCATCTGCCCACCTAACCTTCTGTCTCCCCCTAACCCGCTTCCCTTCTCTGGGAATCCAGTCAGTTACCCTTAATGACCAGCGGTTATCCTGTCTACGCGCTACATGCCCTGCCCATGTCCATTTCTTCTTCTTGATTTCAGCTATGATATCCTTAACCCCCGTTTGTTCCCTAATCCACTCTGCTCTCTTCTTGTCTCTTAAGGTTACACCTACCATTTTTCTTTCCATTGCTCGCTGCGTCGTCCTCAATTTAAGCTGAACCCTCTTTGTAAGTCTCCAGGTTTCTGCTCCGTAGCTAAGTACCGGCAAGATACAGCTGTTATATACCTTCCTCTTGAGGGATAGTGGCAAACTACCTGTCATAATTTGAGAGTGCTTGCCGAATGTGCTCCACCCCATTCTTACTCTTCTAGTTACTTCAATCTCGTGGTTCGGCTCTGCGGTTATTACCTGCCCTAAGTAGACATAGTCTTTCACAACTTCAAGTGCACTATTACCTATCTCGAAGCGCTGCTCCTTGCCGAGGTTGTTGTACATTACTTTCGTTTTCTGCAGATTAATTTTAAGACCCACCTTTCTGCTCTCCTTGTCTAACTCCGTAATCATGAGTTGCAATTCGTCCCCCGAGTTACTCAGCAATGCAATGTCATCGGCGAAGCGCAGGTTACTAAGGTATTCTCCATTGACTCTTATCCCTAACGGTTCCCATTCTAGGCTTCTGAAAACCTCCTGTAAGCACGCGGTAAATAGCATTGGGGAAATTGTGTCCCCCTGCCTTACACCCTTCTTGATAGGGGTTTCAGTCCAGGTTTCAGTCCATCTCAACTTCTGATGGGTCGTTGTGTGTGCACTAGGTTGCGAAAGGTTCAGAACCATCTAGCTCTACAACTGCCTGACCACAAAACCTTAAAGTAGCGGGACAAAAACTTTAAGCGCAAGCAGACCACGGACTAGAATAGCCACCACTGTGATTTACCTGTGCCGATTCTGCAATCAGGCCAGGAAGTCTGGGTAACAAATTCCAGGTGTACTGTTTGGGTGCTGAGCCAAAGTTAGCATCCTGGAGGCTGCAAGGTAGAGACGCTGAACGGTGTGACACAGCGCAACTGACGTGCGCTTGTGATTGTGGCACGACTCTAGCTTTGGCGGTGTCATCTTAAAGGCTGGAGGCACTGACAGTGTGGGAAAACTCCCGAGTGATGTGTTGCGTTTTGTGGTTTATCGTAGTGGTGCGGAACCTGACGTTGTTCCCCAGGAAAGTGTGTCTTCTCCTACAGAAGCAGACAGGCTGACGTCAACACACATTGCGCCTTCATGTCGCGGTCCTCGATATAACTGGTCTTGAACTTACCCGACGTTGTTCCCCAGGAAAGTGTGTCTTCTCCTACAGAAGCGGACAGGCTGACGTCAACACACATTGCGCCTTCATGTCGTGGTCCTCGATACAACTTGTCTTGAACTTGTAATTAGCCTGTGTTCGGTCCACATCTTTCGACAAGGAGGGATGTGTTGTAAAAGAACACTTGTAGAGGGCGTTACTAACCCTGCTAACGCAACCAACAACAAACCTTTGTTATTAGTCTTATCTGTCTTCTAGACATGTTGTTGGCATAACAGGACGTGCGGTAAAAAGACATACTCTTTTTTGCCTGCCCAGAATCTTGTTGGAACACTACAACTTTCGTATATTATATTGCTGTTCAAGGCTTCTTGGTACAGTATTTTAAATGCATAACATTTCTTTTTACCAAGGAAAGAAAACTAGGAGTTGCTCAGGTGCAGTCCTGAAAACAAGAATCTTGAACTAAGATTACATGCCAGGAGTTTATTGACATGCATTAAACCAGTTTTGCTGAGCCATCACTTCACAACTGTAACCAAAATTACCACACCATCGTTACTTTATACTGCTTTTTTTCTGGACCTCCACAACACAATCTTCTGTGTGCATGGAACACACAGAGGCAGCTAAATACCAACGCATTAAGGTAACAAAGAATGTGACTTTAATCAACAATGTACCACACCACTTCCAAATTAAATAAACTGGCACAAACACTTCATTTGATCCCTGAAGTAATGGACAAACACATCACATGTCCTCGAGGAAAAGAAAAAAAAAAGATCGAGCAGTCCGCCTGATGTATGTACATGAGAGGAGGAAGCGCTTGCTAGACACTAGAAGGTGTGCAATGGCAGTAGTTGCAATTTTTCTCAGTAGACAAGGCCTCAATACCCAGGTGTCTTGCATTTCAGTGCAGCCTTTGCACTTTGCAGCTTTGCACTTTGCAGCTTTGCAAGAGAATGGGGGCCAGACCGAATGTTACCGAGGTTCTTTTTTCCCACCCTGCAATAACAGAAACATACAAATGCATGCCTTTACTGCCAGACAGTATTGCCATGCATAAAAAATAAGATCGCCGACTGTTCTTGCACCTTTTATTAAATTAGAGTTAATAAAAACAACACATCTAAAAAAAGTAACACCTTTAATAAAGACAATATAAGATAACTGCAGCAAAAGAATCTAGTCTCGGCAAATGATTTCTGGGCTTATATGCACCAAAGAGAACTCACACACTTTGAGAAGCTTGCCTCATCATAAGTAGATTTTCATTAAACAAAATAGCTGCTGAAAAGAAACAATTATTTATGATGTGATTGGTTTAGACCTGGTATTCTGCACCCTTGGTCATCTCTCAGAAAATGAATCTGCCGTTATATGAAACATATTTTCCTGGTTTCTTCAGGTTGGTTCCGTTTTAGCAAGCCTACTGTAATTGTATGCAGTTGTCAACCAATAATTTGAGTGCGAGAAATACAAACACAGTTGATTATTGACATGTTTGTAGGACTGCCTTTCACCCCACAAACGTGAAAGTATATTAAAATCTGGGATGCCTCATGGCACACTGTTCAATGCTTCAGACACCTCCAGCACATAGTCTACATTTGGCCAGTACAACCAACAGAAAGAGCGATGATCTCATTTAGATATGTTGTCAGTCCCTTTCAAAAGAAAATGAAGTTGCAAAAAAGCACCACTGTTCCCAGCCTAGACAATCCAGTAGCCAAACCGTGAAACATGCATTAGAAATTCACAGTGTTTCTAGTATTTTTAACAAGCAAGTTAGATTGTGACATGGTCTCTGGTGACTTCAATGAGAACTTTTGTCACTCGAAGCCATTATACAGCTTCAAACAGCACCAACTCCACCTTTTCTATTTTTACAAAAGACGGCTGAAGTGAAGTTGGGGAAGCATCAGCCACTGGTACACATTATTTCGCTAGTAAAGTGCAGCTGAGCTATATTTGTAATACTTACAAAAAAATGTATGTTTCGTGCCACAAACCATGCTTTCATCTCGATAATACGATTATGATTGATGTGAATTTCACGATGTTACAAATTTTCTGGTTGTTTTGGATGGACTACATTATATTGCCGCATGAATTCGCGTGGTTTTCGTGTGGAAGAGGACGAAGAGGTTGGGATTGAGCCGCTTTTTAATGCCGCATGAATTCGCGTGGTTTTCGTGTGGAAGAGGACGAAGAGGTTGGGTTGGAGCAGTTTTTCTTTTTTGTCCTAGCTTGACGAGCAGTTCTGCGGAAGGTTTCCTTGAGTGAGACAAGATTGGTGACAAGATTGGTGGAGGTGCTGGGTACGACAACTGACGACGCACCCCATGCACAAGAGCCCATCCAGGAGCCGGAACACAAGCCCTGTGCCCGTGGACACGCCAGTTCACAGAACAAGCCGCCGCCAACGAGGCCTACCACCAGAGACACCGGCACAGCTTATCCATAGAGCGACTATGACTTCGCCTCAAGGCGTCATGGAAACTCCTACGTCGTCGGCACCAATTTATTGCACTGTCCAGAACCCGCTGATGCCTAGTCCCTTTCACGGAGAGCTGTTTGAGGATGTGGACGACTGGCTGAGCGAGTTCGAACACGTCGCAGCGATCAACTACTGGGACGAAGCCGCCAAACTCCGCAACGTCTACGCGTGTTTGAAAGACGGCGCCCGAACGTGGTTCATGAACAGAAGTGATGTCTTGACATCCTGGCGCGAGTTCCAGCATCGCCTCTTGGAGACCTACCGGAGCCCCGACCGCCGCGATCGTGCTGAACGTGCATTGCATTCACGCATCCAGATGCCTAATGAGACCGTCACCATGTACGTGGAGGACATGACGCAGCTTTTCAGGCGAGCGGATCCGGCAATGCCAGAAGAAAAAAAGCTACGCTATCTGATGCGAGGCGTGAAGGAGCAGCTTTTTGCTGGTCTAGTGCGGAGTCCTCCGAAGAGTGTAGCAGAATTCCTGACCGAAGCCACTACGATGGAGAGGGTACTTCATCAGCGGTCAGCCCTACTCAACCGGCAAGTGAATTCTGCATCACCTACTGAATTTTCCGCCAGCTTCGGGAGCAACAGCATTGAGTGGATTCGCGAAATCGTCCGCTCCGTCGTCCGCGAGGAAATCGCGAAACTACACGGGGCGAGACAGCCGGAGGTAAGCAGCATCACCAATATTATTCGGGACGAGGTCCAGCAGGTGCTTCACAGCCGTCGCCCTCAACCAACGGTTACAAATCTAGAACCACCTCCTGCGTCCACTGATGTTGGGAACCGCACATATGCCGAAGCTCTGCGCACTTCCATGCCGGTCTCAAGCCCTGCAGTCCCAATCCAGACGATGCCGCCAGTTTCAATTCAATCTGCGCATGCTGGTTTGGACATCGACGGTCGCCGTGCCCCTCCGCGGAAGTCCGATATTTGGCGTACGTCGGATAGAAGACCCCTCTGCTTCCATTGCGGTGAAGCCGGTCACATCTACCGGGAATGTCCATACCGACAACTTGGACTGCGCGGTTTCTCTATTCATTCGCCTCGTCCCCTAGTTGGTCAGAGGCCAAGAGAAATTGAGGACTACCTCGCGCAGCAACGTCTGCCTTTCCCACGGCGTCAATCGCGGTCTCCATCTCCACGACGACCCGCAGCTATTGGACCACGTCTCAGTACGATGGCACGGGGACGTTCCCCAAGCCCTCGTCGGGAAAACTGAAGGCAGCGACCTTCGGGGGCGAGGTCGCTGGGACTAAAAGTGCGGAAGACCTCCTATCGACGCTTCCACAAAACGCTGCAGACATTGAATTGACGTCTGAGTGCAGTGCGAGAGAAATGCCGGATTGTGCGTCTGAACCCAGTGGCCGAGTCTCACTCGACATTCCCGTGCTGATAGACGGTCTTCAGGTCAGCGCATTGGTGGACACAGGTGCAGATTATTCTATTATGAGCGGAAAATTGGCAACCAGTCTTAAGAAAGTGATGACACCTTGGAATGGGACGCGTATTCGCACTGCTGGAGGCCACGTTATTACTCCATTGGGTCGCTGTACCGCAAGAGTGGAAATACGCGAGTCAACGTTTCTGGTAACCTGCCTCGTACTACGCGACTGTTCTCGTCAGCTCATCCTTGGAATGGACTTCCTTCGAGAGAATGGCGCGATCATAAATCTCCGCGAGCGAATGGTGACTTTCTCGACGCAACTTGCAACCGATCGAGGCGCTGATAGCTGTCGTAGACCTGCGCTGCGTGTTGCCGACGAAAGCGTGACGTTGCCTCCCCGAGCGACTGCTTTCGTAGAAGTCACCTGTGAAGACCTCCAAGACGGTGACGTGGTCGCCGAGAGCAACGTATCCCTTTTACTGCTTCAAGGTGTGTGTGCAGTGCGAAGCATTCTGCGTGTGCGTGACGGACGGTCGCAGATACTCGTCACAAATTTTAACTTCGAGCACCGACATCTTTTCCGCGGCACCACCGTGGCCTTCGGAGACCGTGTAGCGGATGTCACCGAGTGCTTCGCATCCGAGGAAATGGTTGATGGAGATAAGTTTCTGGACCACATCGACGTCAGTTCGAAGCTTTCGGACGAGAAGAAGGCCGCACTGCATACCCTGCTGAAGGAATTTAAATCTTGCTTCGCCTCTTCATCTAGAGTCGGTCAAACACCCCTCATAAAGCACCGAATTATTACCGACGATGATGTTCGCCCAATCCGCCAGCAACCTTACCGTGTTTCGTCTAAAGAACGCGAGACTATACAGACGCAGGTAAAGGAGATGCTTGACGACGGGGTGATACAACCGTCGAGCAGCCCGTGGTCCTCGCCAGTCGTTCTAGTAAAGAAGAAAGACGGAACGCTGCGATTCTGTGTTGACTACAGGAAACTCAATAGCGTCACCAAAAAAGACGTCTACCCGCTTCCACGGGTTGATGATTCTCTCGACAGGCTACGACACGCGAAGTATTTTTCATCGATAGATTTGAAGAGCGGCTATTGGCAGATAGAGGTCGATGAGCGAGACAGAGAGAAGACAGCGTTTGTAACTCCCGATGGGCTTTATGAATTCAGAGTTCTTCCTTTCGGCCTCTGTTCGGCTCCCGCAACATTCCAGCGAATGATGGATACCGTCCTCGCTGGCTTGAAGTGGCAAAGCTGCCTTGTATACCTTGATGATGTGGTCATCTTTGCCGAGAGTTTCGAAGAACATCTGAAGCGTCTAAGAATGGTTCTGGAAGCTATTCGTTCGGCCGAACTCACGCTAAAACCCCAGAAGTGCCATTTCGGCTACGATGAGCTGAAATTTCTGGGACATGTTGTGAGTGCGGATGGAGTGCGGCCTGACCCAGAAAAAACTGCAGCAGTCGCCACCTTTCCTGTGCCGTCAGACAAAAAAGCGGTACGGCGTTTTCTCGGCTTGTGTGCTTATTATCGCCGATTCATTACCAACTTCTCGACGATAGCCGAACCGCTCACGCGACTCACCCGAGATGATGTACCGTTTGCCTGGACTACAGAGCAAGAAGCAGCTTTCACAGAGTTACGGCAGCGAATGCAAGAGGCACCTGTTCTTGCGCATTTTGATGAGGACGCTGATACCGAAGTTCACACGGATGCAAGCAACGTCGGACTTGGCGCTGTCCTTGTACAACGGCACAACGGCGTAGAACATGTCATAGCTTACGCCAGTCGTACTCTCTCTCGAGCCGAGGCCAACTACTCCACTTCAGAGAAGGAATGCCTCGCAGTCGTGTGGGCAACGGCAAAGTTTCGACCTTACCTCTACGGCCGTCCCTTCAAGGTGGTGACCGATCACCATTCGCTGTGTTGGCTGGCCAATCTCCGTGACCCGTCTGGTCGTCTCGCTCGGTGGAGTTTGCGCTTGCAAGAGTTTGACATCATGATTGTGTATAGGTCTGGGCGCAAGCACGAAGATGCCGACGCACTTTCTCGAGCACCCGTGGGACATCCTGATATGGACTCGGAATATGCTGATG